AAGATCTAGGCTGCAAATAGGGTGATAGTTGAGAGAGAAATCGTGTTCTTGACTGAGGAGGGTGAAAAGAGATGAATGAAGGCTAAGTACCACCATTATGCACGAGAGTGTGCTGCCAGGAGAGGGGTGTGCGGCCGCACACCCATGTGTGCGGCCGTACACTCCTTGTGTTGGAGTGTAAGGCCCGATTTTGATGCTAGAAGTGTACGCGATCCATTCCTATGTTCAATGCTTGAATGTACTGACCTTTGGACCTTTAAACAGACTCTAAACGAGGCTAAATGATAGCAGGAATGAGTCTGACACTCAGTTGAGTTGACTGGCGGAGCTTTACCAGGCAAAAATTTAAAAATTTTCGGGTTGTCACAGTCGCCTCGGCGAGTCATATGAAGATAAGCATTGAACTCGACGAGTTGGATGAACAACTCGGCGAGTCCGATGAAGATTGTCGTAGACTAGACGAGTTGGATGAACAACTCGGCGAGTCGGTTAAGGTTTCCCCAAATTGATCAATGCACGTGAACCTGTCGAGTTGCTAGAAGGGAAACTTGACGATGGGCCTTAGGGCTTCGATCGCGAACCTTAGGAACTCGACGAGTCACTCCGAGGGCTCGGCGAGTGGAAAAGTATCTCGAGGAACTCGGCGAGTAGCCGAGGGTACTCGACGAGTAAGGGTCAACATGGACTGTTGACCTTGACTGTTGACTTTGACTTTGACCAGGGGTTGACTAGTTGACTTATGGGGTACCTTGAAAGGTTGAAGAACTTACGAGTATGGTTCTAATATGATAATAGGTGGTGGAGTTTGTGGCCGTGATCTGAGAGTTGGAGTTTAGTTACCGAGCCGACTTTTGCAAGGTGAGTTATCCTCACTATATCAATAGGGTCTAAGGCACCAAGGCCGACCCTTTTAGTTGTTATCTTGGTTACAGTATGCTACATGTGGTTATGATCTGTTAGATCGGTATCAGGATAGACAATATGTTGTTATGCTTTTATGATCCGTTAGGACTGGTATGTTAGTGACCTGGTTAGGTCGGTGCTCTGGTTAGGAGAGATTGCTATGATCGATGATCTGTGAGATAGTTATATCTGATATTTGTATATGCTAGCATATGTTAGTCTTGTGCACATGGTTATTTGCTTGATGTTTGGGTTGAGGCGGTCCTGCTTTGTGCTGAAGGCCAATATACCCTACGAGCAGCCCGGGTAGACTGTAGGCCCGTATGGCGGTCCAGTCATACCGAAGGCTCGGGATAGATCCAGATAGACAGTAGGCCCAGTCGGGCGGTCCAGTCAGGCCGAAGGCCCAGTATGCATGTTGTTGATTATCTGTTATTGATATGGTATTATCGTTGTGGTATTGGTATTTTGGGGGTAGCTCATTAAGCCCTCGGGCTTACAGTTTCAGTTTATTGTTTCAGATACTTTAGGAGATCATGACAAGGCGAAGGTGTGACCGTACCGCTCCGCATCCTTATGATTTCGTTATTGGGACACTCTGATGGATAATATTTTGAAAACATTTTTGTAAAGCATTATTTGGTTTTATGGTTGAAAAAGTTTAAATTTGGCTTAAAATTTTTGGGATGTTACATCACCAACTTGTATAAAAATTACCCATTCTTTTATAAAAATAAAAATAAACAATTTTTGTCTTACATGGTGATGACACCTTTTATAAAGAAATAATATTTTAATAAAGTCAAACTCTGCACCCTCCCCCCATACCCCCTACTCACCCCATCCCCTCACCCTCCTTCCCCCTCCTTTAACTTCGGCCGACGACCCCCCCCCCCCCCCCCCCCCCCCGCCATCCACTTCATCTTCTTCATTTACCTTCATTTTCTTCTCAAGAACAAGATCACTCTCTCAAGGTTAATTCCCATAAGTTGGTTCTTGATCTTTTGGTAAGTTTGTCCTTACTAATCTAGTGATTCTATACATATATATACTAGTTTTGTTACAATTACACACATTAATATGTGTTAATATCCATAGGGTAATTCAACCTTCACGTGTTCTTAGCTTGAAACCTTTCATCTTCACCTCTTTATCCACCAAGAAACACACTCAAGGTGAGTTCATACCCTTCATTTTCGTTTTTATCCAAGTTTTAGGGGGAATACAAGTAAACTTGTATAATAATACAAGTTGTTATACATGCTTTGTCTTCAAGTTGTGTAAAAGTATTATTTACATGAAATAATGTTATTACCTAGTATTATGAACATTTATGTGTAGTATGTGGTTTATAATGCAAAACTATGAAAAATGAGTATAAACATGCTATATGTTCTTGAGAAAATGTCATAAAAACAAAACTATAAAAACTATGGTTTTTATGAACATAATATGACTTTTCTAGCAAAAATGGTTATAACCAAGTTATTACATCATTTTTGTGGGATATAAACCAAAATATGTCATTTTGGGCATATGTTATGAAACTAGTTATAAATACCAATGATTTGGTTTTACAAAAAGAAAACCTAAAAATCCACAATTTTTATGAAACATTAGGGTTTTAGCAAAAATGGTCATGACTAGGTTATGGTACCATTTTTGTGAGATTTTCCCTAAACTATGTTGTTTTAAACATATAAGGATAGTTTGACTTAATCTCCACAAAAATGTAAAAATAAATTTTACAAAGTTTATAACTCAATATTTAGCGTTTGGTGACGTAAAAAGGCCAAAAACTAGAAAAATTGACTTCATCATACTAAATGTTCATGTACTTGTGTTAAATGTGAATTATATGTTATTTATGAACATCTAAACATGTTAACTTGTATATATGTGAGTATATATTGGCACAACAAAACATTTATATTAAACTATAATAGGTATAATTTATGGGTCATTAACACTATTTTATCGTTTTGGGACAAGACGAATAATTATATAAAAGTATAATTATTTTACAATATGTAAATACTATGGAAATGTGATATTTACACTTACAAGGGTTTTCATAACACTATATGTAAACTTGTTGAAACGATTATGTGAGACAAAGTCTTCACCGTACCTACCAGAGTACACACTAAAGTCCTGAATTATAACCAGAATCTCGGTAAGAGAGTGTGATACTTGTGTATAAATCTATATGAGACTGACAATCCTGCACCTAAGCTGCTAGCTACAGCTAGACCGACAGGTCTGGGGTGACAAATGTCTAACATTCCAACGCCTGAAGAACGTCGTAGCAAACCAACTTCGGTTTTAGCATGGTTGTAATAACTCACATGGAAAATCAACAATACATTTAGTTTACGGGGTAACATGCGTTCAAATGGTTTTACATAAGAATAAAACTACGTAATATTATTTTAAGTATAGAAAAACTTATACACTATTGATCTTAGGGTTTTAAGACTACAACTCATTTTTAAGAAAATATTGGATTTTCTGGGAACAAACACTATCATTTTACAAGGAAATAGTTACAGATTTTTTACATACAAAACTCTTATGAACTCACCAACTTAATTGTTGACACTTTTCAAAATTACTTGTATTCTCAGGAAACCGTTAAACAGGTAAACACAAGGCTTTTGAGGATGGGATGTTACAGCGTCATACTATTCATTTTTGTCGTCATAATGTAACTGGTTTGAAACATACAATACTTGGAAACAATGTAACATTCTCAATTATATTTATGATGGTTGTGTTTGCTTTGATCACTATTGTACATTATGTTGTGATACTGTTCATGAAAGTCATCCACCCCCAGACGTTTCCGTCATCCTGGTTTGGTGGTGTGACATATCGGGTTAATGAAATTGATTTAAATAAGTCAATTGACAATGATATCGGTGAATATTCAGACTGAATTATTTTATTATGTTAGTTAATGTAATTTTTTTATGATTGTTAAATCAAATGTAATGTTTTCAATTTATGAAATGTTATGTTAGTTTAATTAATATTTAATTTTAAGTTTTATGTAATTATTTAGATTTTTGAATTAAAAAAAAAGTTTGTAGGCACCACACCCTACCTCGTAGATAAAAAATCTAAAAAATGTAAAATCCTATGTGGCGCTTAGGTGGCAACCTTTTACCATTGGTAAAAAAACACCACACCCCTTAGCCTTAATGTCAAATATAATCAATTAATAACTTTGAATGCAATGAGTTATTTTGTGGCTTCAAAAGGTAAAAAAGGATGATTAAATGTAAAATTACCATGATTGTTTAGGTTCCTAAATAAATTCATATATAAATAAGGTTTTTAGTGAGTTTATAGATGTATTTTCCTTTTATTTACGAGTTTCTCTATTTACAAACATAATTTACTAAATTTTATGATTTCAAATAAATCATCATTAATATTTTGAGATTCTCAACCATCTAATTAAGCAGAATTAATAAATAGTTTTCGTTTCTCCCCTTTAAAAGGAAATTTTCATATCATTGACATTTAAAACACAATAAAAACAATTATGACGTGATCATGTTTAGATTATTTCCTACCTCCAAATTACCATATTACCCCAAACATACGCCTTTTAAATTGCTCTTTCCAACCAATTGTAGGGGCATTTCGTGTCAATTCCGTAAGAAGAAGACATCATTGGTATCAACCTTAAAATTCTTCCCAAAAAATATGTTTATTACCATTATTGTGAGTAACATATGATTACATTACTATATGGGACCCACACAAGAATCAACGACTAAGATTAATTCATAATTGGAACTTTTAAGCCTATATTTAGTCTATAGTGCATAGCTTCATTTTTCACATGAGAGCTAGAACGAGAAATTGACAAGAAACACTCTAATTGGAATCGAGTTATCCTTATCTTTTTTCTTTTCTTTTTTTCATTCTAAAACTTATGGATTTAAGGTTTATAAAAATAGATTTTTTTTTATTTCTTTAAACAAAAATCTGAAGACAAAAACTCTTGAGAGAAAGTAGGGGGTTTTTGATGAGTGAAATAGTAAAGTAATTTGATTCCTTGTATTATTTATATTGAAAGCCATTCTATTTGTTCTGGCAAAGTTCCCATGATTGTCCATTTGCGTTGAGAGCTCTATTCCAAGTCACTATCTTGTTTTCTCTTTCTAAGATCCGCTTTCTCTCTCTAAAATCTTTGAGTTCGTTCGTTCGTTTCGCTCCTCTTCCTTTCTGGGTTTGTTTGTTTGTCTTCAGCAAAGTTCAAAAAAATCCAAAATTCTCTAAATCTTTGTGTCTTTCTTGATTCTTGATTCTTGATTCTTGTTCCCTGTTTCCACTGTTTCATCACCCTGGACTGACTTTTAAAAGTTTTTTCACCAAAAGGAAAAAAGATGACAGTTGAGGAAGTTAGAGGGGGTGTTTTGGGTAATGAAATTGACAGGTTTCCCATTGGCATGAGAGTTCTTGCTGTTGACGATGATCCAACTTGCTTGAAATTATTAGACGGGCTTCTAAGAAAATGTCAATATCAAGGTTAGTTTTTTTCGTTTTTGTTTTTTCAATTTTTTGTGCTTCAAATTGACTTGGGTTTTTTCATAAACAATCGTTCTTCCTTGAGTTATCAGCGAATTCTGTGTTAATTTGTAGTTCTAGTCAACAATTTTCAAGTATGGATATTGAACCAATTATGGACTACAGATGACGAATTTGACCTTTTTCTTTTAGGGTTTCAATCCATTGACCTTACGAATGTTTCATGTGTTCATAATCAATGGTTTCGATTTTTACTTTTCACAGTTACAACAACAAATCAAGCGATAACAGCATTGAAGATGCTAAGGGAAAATAGAAACCGATTCGATTTGATCATTAGTGATGTTTACATGCCAGACATGGATGGTTTCAAGCTTCTCGAACTCGTTGGCCTCGAAATGGACTTACCCGTTATCAGTAAGCCCCAAACACTCTAATTTTACCATAATTTTAAGGAATAATAAAATAAATTACCATTTTATAATGTAATATTTAACAAATTTACAATCTTTTTGTTCAGTGGCATAAAATGACCACCAATTTTGAAACTGAATCCAAAAAATTACAAAATTACATTTTAGTTACAAAACTGTGAATTTTTTTTCACTGTTCAGTTGAGAAATTCCAAAAATTTGCACTGACAAAAAGGATCCAATTTGACAGTTATGAACAATTTTGCAATTTGAGACTAAACAATTTGTCAAATATCATAAAATGGTAATTTATTTTTTGTGATTTAAGGTTGTTTTTCGAAAATTAATGAAGTTTTTTCGAAATGGTTTCAGTGTTATCAGGAAACAGTGACCCAAAGCTTGTAATGAAGGGGATCACTCATGGTGCTTGTGATTATTTAGTGAAGCCAGTTCGCCTTGAGGAGCTAAGAAACATATGGCAGCATGTGATTAGGCGAAAAGTTGAGTCAAAATCGCAGTCAAAGTCAAAGTCAAACAATGATCATGATAAATCAGATCAAGGGACTGAAAATGGAGATCAGAATGTGAAGTCGAATAGAAAAAGAGGAATTGAAGATGAAGATGTTGAAGAAAATGGACATGAAAGTGATGATCCATCGGCTCCAAAGAAGCCTCGTGTTGTTTGGTCAATTGATCTTCATAGAAAGTTTGTTGCTGCTGTTAATCAATTGGGGATTGAGAGTGAGTCCTTTTTGGTAATTTTACATATTGGGTGTGTACAACAATTTGACTAAAAGTTGGATTTTTGGTGTAAATTATGCAGAAGCTGTGCCTAAAAGGATTCTTGATTTGATGAATGTGGATGGAATTACTAGGGAAAATGTAGCAAGTCATCTCCAGGTATGCGAATAAATGACCGTTTTACCCTTGTGTTTACTAAGGGAATTTATAAGTTCAATAGTACGTTTCTTTTTTGGACCGAATGAACCATGTTAGTGTGAGTAAATGACCATTTTATCCTTCTGTTTACAAGGGCATTTATAAGTAACTATGAAAGAAAAAGTTCATTCTTGGTGACTGAATGTGAAAAATAGCTTTTCTTTGGGAATTATATGTTCAAAAGTCTGTTTCTTTTTTGTACCGAAAGAACCATATAAATGTGAGTAAATGACCGTTGTACCCTTTTGTTTACAAGGGCATTTACAATTAAGGTTGATAGAAAACATTCATTCTTGGTAACTAAATGGGAAAAAGATAGACTTTCTTTTGACAATTATTTTCAAACTGGTTCTTTCTTTGTCCAAATGAACCATCTTGATGTGAGTAAATGACCGTTTTACCCTTTTGTGTACAAGGGCATTTACAATTAACTTTGAAAGAAAAAATTATTCTTTTTGCCTAAACAAGAAAAAGATAGGAAACCTAGGTGGAAAAAAAAATCAAATTATGCTAATTTGATCTTTTGTTTACAGAAATATAGGCTTTACCTAAAGAGGATCAGTCATCAAGCTAATATGGTGGTTGCATTTGGTGGAAGCAAAGATGCATCTTCTTACATACGGATGAATTCTCTTGATGGACTTGGAGATTTTAGGACAATATCATCTACAGGAAGATTGCCAGGTGGCACGTATGCGCCATCTGGCATGCTTGGTAGGCTCAACAGTGCAACGGGTGTGACCCTTCATAGCCTCACGGGCCCACCTATGGTCCAACCAAACCATACCCAAAACAAGTTGCAGCCAGTTGTATCGGTTATGCCCCCAAATCACCAAAATTTGAATTTTTTTCAGGGGATTCCAACATCTTTTGATCTTGAGCATCAACAATATAATAATAAACCGAATACACAACTTGCGGATTTTGGTTCGGTTGAAGAATCTCGAATCTTTACAGGTACCCAGTTGATTGATTTTGATTCTATTGATGAATCTTGAATCTTTAGACATAATTCATTGATGGGTATCGATTCCATTGAATCTTTTGGTGTCCCCATTGATGGAATCTGATTCTATTGATATATCTTGAATCTTTAGGAACAACCAATTGACATATTCTGATTCCATTGATGAATCTTGAATCTTTACTGACGGATTCTGATTCATTTGATGAATCTTGAATCTTTTTTGAGTACCCCATTGACAGATTCTGGTTCCATTGATGAATCTTAGATCTTTACAAGTACCCTGTTGACAGATTCCGATTCCATTTAAATTTTTTTGAATCTTTAGGAACGACCCATTGAAAGATTCTGATTCCATAAATGAATCTTGAATATTTACAAGTAATGCCATTGACGGATTCTGATTCCATTGATGAATCTTGAATCTTTAAGAGTACCCCATTGACAGATTCTGATTCCATAAATGAATCTTGAATATTTACAAGTACGCCATTGACAGATTCCGATTCCATTGATGAATCTTGAATCTTTAAGAGTGCCCCATTGACAGATTCTGGTTCCATAAATGAATCTTGAATATTTACAAGTATGCCATTGACAGATTCTGATTCCATTGATGAATCTTGAATCTTTACAAGTACCCCATTGGCAGATTCCAATTCCACTGATGAATCTTGAATCTTTAAGAGTACCCCATTGACAGATTCCGATTCCATTGATGAAGCTTGAATCTTTACAAGTACCCCACTGATGGATTTCGATTCCATTGTTTAATCTTGAAACTTTATAAGTATCCCATTTATGAATTCCTATTCCTTTGTTAAATCTTTAGTCTTTACAAGTACCCGGTTGACGGATTTCGATTCCATTGATGAATCTTGTTTCTTGAATCTTAACAAGCACCATTGACGATTCCGATTCCGTGGTGGAATATGAATCTTTACAAGTACCCCCCATTGACAGATTATGAATTCATTGATGAGTCATGAATCTTTGAATCTTTACAGGTACCAAACTGGCTGATTTCAATTCCATTGATGAATCTAGGATCTTTACAGGTACACCCATTCAACAAGATTTCAATACCATGATATATCTTTGAATATTTATGGGTTTCCAACAAAACGATTTGAATTTTTTTGAATGTTTACAGGTTCTAGCACCTTCACGGATCCAAGTGCAGTTCTTGGAAGTCAATCTGTTTTAAAGCTATCTTCTACAGGCCCAGAATCTCTTAATCTTCTTTCAACTAGTTCAACCTTTCTTGATAATCAGTCAACAAACTTCTCTTCAAATCAACTGCCAATCGAAAACTACAGTTATCCTGTTACTGTTAATGGCGGATTTGCTTCCAACATCACCACCACCGCCTCTGTGCCTCTTGAACCTAGTGGTGGTGGTGGTGGTGGTTTGGTTGGTGACATTATTCGCAATGCTAATCAATCTTTATCAAATCAAAACCAAAATCACATCCAAAAAATCGGGATATATAGTGGTAGTAAACAAGATTATATCCAATACTCTCACAATGCTTTTAGCACACTAGCCTCTTCAGCTGGTGGTGGTGGTGGTTTGGGTGGTGGTCTGGTGAGCCATGGTAGATCAAATGGTGGTGGTGGTGGTGGTGGTTCAACCCTTACACAAACCGAGAAGCTAAGTATGCGCTCCAATGAAGATTTTCCATTTGATCAGACAAAATTGCAAGGTGGTTTTGTTGCAAACAATGGTTATGGTTCATTGGATGATCTTATGACTGGAATGATGAAAAGGGTACAATCTTTTCTTCTATTTTTTTGTTGAAATTATTTCCTCTTTGATGAGTCAACTCAGTCGCCATGGAAAACATTCAAAATGAGTCAAACTCGGTCCAAGGAACCCTAACTAACATTTTTGTGCAATTTTTATGATTCTTAGGAGCAAGAGTCAACAATCATAATGGATGGAGAATTCGGATATGATGATTATGGTTTCGGGCCGAATGATGATTCTAGTTAGGTGTTTGACTCGTAGAGAAAGATTAAAAGAGTCTACAATTTCAACAACTTAGGTTTTTATCGTTTTCCTCGTATGTAATTTAGAGTTGCTCTTGGTTTTTTTATCATCATGGATGTGATGGCGAATATTATATTAATTTTGCTTTAGTTTTTTTCCGCAACGCATGTTTTTCTTGCAGTTTAATGGTCATAATGCAAAGGCATATCTTTTTCTTGATACTTATGTGGCTTGTAGCACCATGCTTAAAAATAGAACTACCCCCATGGTGGTATATTTGTAAATAATGTCAAAGGGTTGTGGTGGTTTTAATTTCAATATGAATTGGGCTTCTTCCTTGTCAAAATTCAATATGTGTTGGGCTCCTTATAAGCCCAATGACTATATGACAACCACCTAATAGGTTGCTCATGTTAGACTAAATCCACATTGTGGGAGTTTTAATTCCAAATTTCCAATATGAATTTAAACGTTTTGTTAATACCGTGTGAGTTTTAGTTCACCTAATGACAATGAGACGAGGTGTTGTGGGCAATATTATGTAAGTTTTAGTTCCACTATCCATTGGGTTGTTTTAGGCATTTTTTATGCTAAGTGCCAATAGACGATTATGTACCTGATTTACTTTATGTTCAGTGATTGCTAAAAAAAAGAATTAACTTTTTTTAGGGATAATAGAAGAACTGGAAAATGAGTCCAAATCCTATTTAGAATAAACTCAAATGATATACTACTTGAAAAGAGTCTTCTTGATGCAAGCTCAAACATAGCTAAAGTAATATTTAATTAGAACTATGCCTATAATCAGTAATACAACACAAACTAAAATGCATAAATAGGAAACAAGAATAAATATATTGGTAAAAAAAATTATTCTCCTTCCCAACCAAGTTCTCTAGCTCTTCTCTCCCATAAAGAAGTGATCTTTTTTTCTTGTCTCATGAGAGCCTCAGCTTGTTCTCTTGCTTGTTCGCATGTTTCAGTTGCAGTGTTGCATTTTTCAGCCTCTTTTTGATATTGGGAAGCAACCCTTCTTGCTTCACCAAATGTAATGTTCATATGGCGAATGTGTTCTTCACCTACTGCTTTCTGTAGTTTAAGCTCTTCTGATAGTAAATCCACAAATTGTTTCTCCATTTCTTCTTTGAGATCTGGATCATCCTTCCCACAATCTGGTTTTTGGAAAAGAATCATTAGATTATATTATACTATAAAAAGGTAATCAAAGATAAAGAATGAGTTGGTGAGAGCTCACCTGTGACAGAAAGATTGACCAAGCCTGCAAAAAGAAATGTAGATATACCATTTTTAGTATAATTTGATCTTAAATAATCAAGAATTATGGGTATTTTGAAGTACCAAAAGTCCAAAACCTAGATCTTTCTCCTCATATTCAAAATCCAGAAAAGAAGTAGAAATCAAATTACGGATTAGCTAATTTCGCACAGAACAAAAAACTTATTAGAATCCCAGATCAAATACGGCCAAACTAACGAGGAAAATGAAAGTGAGACATGGATAGAAGAAACAGCGAGGGCTTAATCATCAAATTCTATTGAAATTTAAAATTTTGGATAAACCCAAATCATATAGGGTCAAAAAACTAATAATCAGATCGAAAACAAGAAAAAGGGTTTGATTACCAGGAGCGAGCTTGAGAAGGGAGAGCGGAGGAGGGCAATCACAGACGCATGGAGTACAATGGATCGAAGAACCAGGTTTCAAATTAAACCCCCGTTTGAGCTTCCAATAAAGAGCTGGCCCAGATACACACAATGCTGAAATCACAGCCAAAATTACTAAACAACACCGGAAACAAGACCCAGATCTCCTTGTCATCTCTCGTCCCCTCGCGATTCGGTTATCTCTCAGTGTGTGTGGAAGCTGTATGTGATCTCATGGAGTAAAGCTCTTTTATTGAAGAGTTTCTTGGGAATCTATCGTGTGAGTATTTATGATGAAGAAAGGGATTTTGCACTTCCCGACCAGCTCTTTAGAGGATTTATTATTCATAAATTTTTGTACGCGATAACGCCATTTTGCCCTTTTCAAGTTTCAACCCTAATGCTAAAATTATATATAAAATAAATTTTTTATCACATTGAATTTTTGGACTAATCACAAAAATCCAGGAAAAGGTTGTGTATAGGATTGTATATATTTCAAATAGTAATCACAAAATAATCACATATTAAAAGAATATGGATTTCATAAAGTGATAAAAACTACTTCAATTCGTAGAAGAATTTTTCAGAAAATATTGAGTTTACAACTTTTTGCGAGACACTTAATTTCCGTGATACACCTTTTCTATGATACTAGTGAATCTTGACTTTTTAAGATAACTTTAAATTTCTTGAGGTATAGATGTGTGCATTAGTGAACATATTTTACATCTAAAAGTGAGTTTCAAATACTTAGGGTCTATGATCCATAAGAAATGGGATGCGGAGGATCACGTTACACATGACATAAAGATATGATGGCTAAAATGGAGGGCATCGATGAAAGTTTTGTGTGACAAAAACATGCCCTTGAACTAAAAGGGGAATTTTATAAAGTGGTGATTATGCCAACTTTGTTGTATGTGTCTAGCTTTGTTGTATGAGTCTGAATGTTGGCCAATTAAAAAAGGAACATGAGAGGAAGATGGAGGTCGTATAAATACATATGGTGAGGCGACCATGTGGAAGAACATTGTTGTACCGGATTCCTAACATGATAATTAGAAATCCATTGGCAATGGCATCAGTCATAAAGAAATTAAGGAAATGAATATTATGATGGTTTGGACATGTTCATAGAAAACAAACGTCGGCGGTTATAAAGAGAGTGGTGACAATCACAATCAAAGGTGTGAGGAAGAGAGTTCGCCTGATGATAAAGTTGGAAGATAATGGGAGATTGAACTTGAAGGGGTTAGCTCTTATTGAGGACATGACCTTAGATAGGAAACAATGAAGGCTTAGATCAACTCCAATGGAACACTAAAACAACATTTTAGAGAAAAAAAAAGACTATTTCGTTCCAACCAACCTCTAAAAATCATCATTTTAGTGTGTTGGATAGCTTCATACACCAAATATGAAGGTTAAACACATAGCCACTAAAAATCACCGTTCTAGTATGTGGTTGGATTGGAAACATTATTTTAGTGTGTAAACATCACCATTTTAGTGTTTTGTCATTGAAGTTGGTCTTAGAATTAAGGTGATCGAGTCGTAGTGACCTATTCTAGGGAATAATTTCCTTTTATTTGTTGTTGCTTGCTTATCAATTTTCATCCACTTACTCATGTTTCCTACTACTTTCAACAAGTGTTAGTATTGTATGCCATCTGCTTGCTTTAAAGTCTACTTCCAATACTTGTTTATCGATTCATGTTGTACCGATTGACCATTCCCCTATCTACTTACAGACTTATCTCGTTTATTAATATATTTGTAGGCACACATCTTTGCTTTTTTTTTGTTCATTACAGACTTATGTTTAAAATTCAAGGATCTTATATGTAGGGATCTTTTCGGCTTGGACACACTACAATATTTCTTTATTTCTTTATTTTATGTTTTATTCTATCCTCTTATTGTATTTTTATACTTCTTATATCCCCCTTACCCATTGGTATGGGTATAGGGTAGTGTTGTGGTTTAACAAATGTGGAAAGTTTGTTCATGGAATCACTTCGTGGATTGAGTTCAATTTCTTTCAGTAGTCATGTTCTAATATCTCTTAGTATTGTTCAACAATTTGTTCTTTCAATCAAAATGTGAGTTTCGTTACATGATTGTACCTTCGAGTTTGTGTAAACCATTGTACCTTCGACAACACCTCTAGTCCAACTGTCACTATTGGTGCCAAGTTTTGTGATAGATTTATCTAATTTTTGTATAGTTTTACGTACTACATTTCTTGTGAGATTCTATTACCGGTGCCAAGTTTTGTGACAGAACAAACTTTTATTCTCAGTGCCAAGTTTTGTGATAAATTCATCTAATTTTTTGTATGGTTTTCCATTGTCCATTTCGTGTGGGATTTAATTATTGTGGTTATGTTGAATATGAGAAGGGAGAAATCAAATAAGACAAATCTATTTCAATTTTTATTATTCAAGCTAGGCGTAAAATGCAGTACCAAAATTTGTTGGTTTGATTTACTGAATAGCAAGGGTTGAAAAGGAAAGTTGAAGCTCGCCCTACATTTTTAATATAATAGGAAATTTAATTCCTCACTTATTAGGAATGATGATATTTTAGAATTTTAATATTTTTCTTGTCTGTGAAGATGAAGATTTTAGGGCCCAAGTTTATTTTGGAACGATGCAAATTCTGAATGAAAGATATTTAAGTCTAATAATATATGCTTCGTTGCCAAATGAATTCCATCACACAATCCCTCAATGAGAATGATGAAGATTTGTGGGTTTAAACTGATGTTAACTATTAGTTATTTACCATATCGTTGGTTTCAAATCTATATAGCATGTCTGTATTATTGTGAAGTAACTATTATTTACCACCCATTATACTTAACACGAAATACTCACATGTGCAAGCTATACGATTTACTAATTAAATAAAGTTACATCCAAAATCATGCATAATGAATAATACAAAGTAACAACGATTAATATGAATTGAAAAATGACTTTAGTGGAACTAACTTCATAATGAATAATATCAATGAAGTTAGTGGCAAGATTAGACAACTGAGATGGTTGGTAAGTTGGTTATACCTTGGAGCTTTTGAACACATATAATTCTCACGATATTTTTAGCAAGTGAATGATTGAGTGGTAGGGTCACATCATATTCAGCAACACCTAAAAACACCCCGAAAAAGATCGAAAATCATCCTTGGATCATTAGGGATGATGGATGATTTACTTGTGGCATCAAGTTCTTATAAATTATAAGACAAAGTAGAGTTACAACTTTTCTTAGTTGTAGCTCCGATCATCCCCTTTATATTTATCGGGAAGGTCGAAGATATGGTGTGTTTACTACTTTATGTCGACGGTATCATTCTTACTATTTTATTTCAATGATATTATTCTTGCCACATCCTTTCACACATTAAGGGAACCTTTTTTTTTTGGAAAAATGTGTTGAAGTTTCCAAGAAAGATATAGGTATGTTAGTTATTTTCTCAACAATAATGTCATCCGAAACGGCTATTGACTGATTCATTCACAAAGAGAACACGCTACCGAAATCCAGCATGTCGGACATGTAAACCAACAACGACGCCTATCAACACTAAATGTAAATTAAGTGTAAACATAGGCCCTTTGTTTTTGGATCAAACCCTCTCTATCGTCTTCTAGTTCAAGCCCCATAATGCTTTACATTCATACGGCCAGACATTTCTTATGTCCCCCATCAAATTTATCTTCACACGCTTACTCCTCATAATGATTACATGACACCTCTAAAAGAGACCATTCGATACATTCGAGGCACTCAAGATTTCATTGTTTATGTCTACAAATCTGCATTCTCTTGACTAATTGACTTTCTACTTATATGGATGCTAACCGGACATATTGCATCGGTACTCGTCTGGATATTGTGTTTTCCATGGACCCAATCTCATTTTAATGTTTCATGGTTTTTAAAAATGCACCCACTATATAATGTTCTAGCGCCAAAGCCAAATACCGAGGAGTAGCAAACACCATTTCTAAAACCTGACGGATTCGAAATTTATAACTAGAGTTTCATATACCAGTATGGACACACTTGTTTGATGTGATAATGTGACTGCCATAGTGCCATTACATGTTTCAGTAGTCGTGTTCAAAATTAACATACGAAAGCATATTGAACTTGGAATTCACTTTGTTTGGGAAAAAATAGCTAAATGACAAGTATGGGTTCTCAATATCAACTTGTCAATATTTTTACCAAATGACTACCAAGAGTTTTATTTTATGATTTCACGAATCACAGGAATATGAGCATGAGATGACCTCTTGTTTTGATTGAGGTGGTGAATTAAATAAACATTATGTTTTAAATAACAATTAGCAATAGCAACATTAATGATCAATGAGAATATCAAGTGATGTTTTCTTATAACATATTAGTTTTAGGTTTAAAAAAAATAAGTTGAATTAGGTTTACCATCTCCGTCCCCATCCTTGTTCTCATCCAAGGGCGGACGTAGGATTTCACAGTAGGGGTTGCACGAGAAAGTTAGAGGTTGCACGGTAGTAGAAAAAATAAAAATTTCAAAAAATTTTCCACTGCGGCCGGAAAAGTCAGGGGTTGCCATTGTCACCATGGACCCCATAGGTCCGTCCCTGTTCTCATCCCTATCTCTATCCCAACCCCGGTGGGTACGTAAAATCGAATTACTTCCGCTTTGAAAAGTGATTTATCTCATGCTCATCCTAGTCAATCCTCGACCCATCGATGTAAACATTATTAACATAAAATATTTGATAATATAGTATTGGTTAGTAAAAAGAGATAAAAATCCATCACATCCTATTCAATGTCGATTCAGTTATAATGAGGACAATTAACGAACATAAAAATCCAGAGTTTTTAGGACATGTTGATCTAAAAAACATAATTAAAAGGCCCATAGGGAAAAATTAACAAAGGCAGGCTCATAAGCTTAAATCATCTACCCAATACCCAACACCAATAGTAAGCATATTTATTATGGGTCGTACCCGGCCACAGGAGGGCGGGTTGAGGAATACTATGCGGCCATGGGCGCCCCAGACATAAGTTTGAACGGCATCTTCCTTTTAGGACATGTTGATCTAAAAAACCAAGTGAGTATCAAGTGATTTGATAGTTAATGAGGTATATGCAAAGAATAACGAATTTGTGTTACATGGCCACATATGATTTGTGATATGTATTTTTAGAATTATACATGATTTGATGAAAAATACAAAAACGAATACAACATATTCATTACTACATGAACTAAATATACATAACCAACATCTAAATTCAGTAAACCACGATATCGACCATCTCTTATTTCCCGAATATTGATTTCAACCACCACACGCCCTTGGTGTCAGCGGGAGCACCTTCAGTCTCCGGTGGTGGGTCTGTGTGTGTCGTCTTCTTCAGATTGCTCACATCATACCCTTCTCCCTTCGCTTTCTCAATCAGCTGCTCGTATATCTCATCATCCAGATGGTTTTCTCTGCACAATATCTACACAAACCCCAATTATACCAATCAATTTCAATACATTTGCACAAACTATTTAACACAAACTATGCGAGATTGAAACATACCCAGAGAGACTTCTTCGAAGGCTGACCAATCAAAGCATACTGATAATCATCATCTAGAAACAGCACCCAGTAATCACCCGTAACAGGTATGATGGGCAAAAATGGCGGAAGGTAGAATTTCACCTTCAATTTCGCTTCATCGCTATTGGGATCAGCTTTATAAGCAGTGCCTTCAATGAATCCTCTCTTTCCATCACTCCAAGTCTCGTTTAGAACATGAACAGTTCCATCGTCTTTCAGTGTGTATGTAGCCCTAGTATTGGTTCCGTTTTTAGGCTGATTTCTTGATGGAAATGAAGCAATTTCGTACCATCGGCCCATGTATCTCTGTAGATCAACGCCCTTTACAACTTCCATCTCTTTCTTAGCCATGAAGTTTCTGTGTGTGAACTGTGAATAGGGAGGTGATGAATAATGGAAGGAGAGATTCTGGGGAGTATATAATTGATGGGGGGATAGATAAAAGGTGATGTGGAGAATTGATAACCTCACAGTTGTTGAGATTGCAAAAATATTTTGAATTAATAAGTTTTTTATTTTATTTTTTTTAGTAGTCTCCATTCTCCCTCTAGAGATTCTCTGGTCGACAACGGTTGTCAAAAACAGTCAAAAGTTGAAGATTTATTTTCCAATTGTTGGGATTTTATATATAGATTGGGAGATTAAACTTCTTTTCTGAAATTATCATTGAAAGTTTAATACTATAGTGGAAATTATATAATTTGAGGATATGAATATATTCTGAGGTGAGAATTAAAGATGTTAAAATATTTGATACTATGTTATGGGTAAAAATACGTCCTTTCTTCATTTCCTCGTGTTTCTGAATAAAAAGATAAATCTTAATTAGTGTTAATAAAGAGGGTGTTTGAGATTTTATTTTGATGTTAAAAAGTACTTTTTGACAAAAATGACTTATTGATTTATGAATGTGAGAAAATGTTTTTAAAAAAAATGTTTAGATTAACTTTGGTGTTTGGCAAAGCTTAAAAATGGAGTTTTTTGACTTATTATCAGTTTCACACCGGTATAAGCTAAAAAGAGTGTTTAGATAAAAATAGCTTATACCAGTGTCATACCGGTAATAAGTCAAAATCAATAAGTAAGAGGCCCCTAACTTATCAACTTATAAGTTATAAGCTATAAGCTGAAAAATACTTTTGATTTTTCATAAGCTTAGCCAAACATCCTCTTAGTGTTAAAAGTCAATAAGTCAAGAAGTTAAAAAGTGTTTGATTTAAAATTTTCTTTTATTTGTTTTTTTATCCTAATACGTTATAGGTCATTTCAAAAAGTTACAATTTGTTACTTTTTAAAAACTCATTTTTAAAGGCTAAACAAAAAGGAGTTTTAAAAGTCCTTATTAGGTATCCAAACATTTTTTTTAACTTATTGACTTTTCAAAAAGTCAATTAAGTTAATAAAGAATTTTTAGATGAACACTCAAACATCCTCACAATCTAAATAGAACATTTAACTAAAGAATGTAGAACCATTTAGGAATCAACTTTTTTTGGCAAATTTGCTCTTCTTCTAGAGTATTTATAATACAAATTTGCAAATGAATTGTTTTTGTTTTAAATGTTGCATGACTATGTTATTACTTACTCACATCGGCATACCTTAGGACAAATAAGAGGTGTGGGAAGACCAGCAAGAAAGATTTCTTCAACTCTGTTTTTAAGATGTCACAATTCCTTAGAGGATATCAGAAGTTCAAACCTGAAACCCTTGAACAAAAAAAATACTGTATTAATGTATATCTTTTAATCCTATCTCTACTATTCCCTCATCTCATAAATCGCTGCCTCCTTCCTCCCCTATTCTCTCCTCCCATTAAAAACTCAGAGAAACCATTTGTCATTACTAACATCAAAGCATTTTTTATTCTATCCCTTCATCTTTATCAACCACTACAATATTTGACAAGTTATTTAGTGAAACCAAATGCATGAGTTTTGGTGTGTCATATTAATGGAACTTCCGTTCATAAAAATGTTGATGATCCTGAATGGCACAAACGGGACTCTTAATCAAGTTATGGATCTATGGTTCTATTTCCAAAACTCCTTCGATAACAATGATGCACAACAATCAAAATTGCAATGGTTTTTGTTCCATGGAGAAAAAACTTTTAGTAATTAAATCATTAAAATTAATCTTTTGATGATTAAATAAAAGAAATAAATTATAGTGGCGTTTACTGAATTTGGTATTTAAAGTTTTCATGATTAAATAAGTAAAATACTTAGACATACTTTTATTATACGACATAAACTTTTGATTATCTATCAATATTTGTCATAAAAACAATAAGGTATTATTTAGGGAGACAATTTTTTACACGACTCGCAATACGACGAACCCGATACAAAAATAAACAGGTTGGGTTGAGATTTTTGACCTGCCAACCCACCAAACCTTCAAATAAACAGGTTGTTTTCGGGTTAGTATTTGGGTTCACGTGTCAACCCCTTGTCAACCGGTATAATTTTTTTAAAGAGTATTATCGTTTTAAAGCAGCTCACGCGGAGGTGGTTCACCATATAATATATTAGATTTAAGTTATGCAACTATATTTATTAGCCTATGTGTGTTGTGTGCTCTAAATCAAACAAATCCTCACTATTATGCGTATAATATTTGGGTTCATGTGTCAACCCACCAACCCGCTAACCCGTGAACCTGACCCTCGAACCCGAATCTGACTCACAAACCCGCGAACTCATATAATTAAACGGGTTTGACGGGTCGTGTCCCGGTTGATGTTTCCAACTCGTCAACCCCATGACCCCCCAATGAGTTATACAAATAATTATATGGGTTGTGTACGGGTTGATGCATTCCGAGCTGTCAATCCACGACACAAATAATTATATGAATTGTGTATGAATTGATACATTCTGACCTGCCAACTCACAACTTTCAACCCAAACCCAACACGATTGTCAACCCTAATATTATTTGGTATGTTATAACCGAAAGAGAAAGAGCTGAGGGAATGAAAATAAATCATAGAATAAAGTGGAACATTTTGTATCTAATACCATTCCTAAACCTTATTATTATTTCATAGACTTTCAATAGATAGAATCAGATATCATAATTATAAATTATTTTTATTTATATGATTGTTAATATATATTGTTTTTTAACCTTAAAAATAATTAAAAAATTATTTTATTATAATTCTATTTTAAATTTTATAATAATCATTTTTATTATTCTATAACTAATTTTTTTTAAGCGAATTATTCTTTTTTTTAGTTATTTGAAATACATATGACCAGGGTCGGTCCTGAAGATTTAAATATCTTCAAATGCTTTGGACGAACCAGGAAAAAATGGTCATTATCGCTATTATAAGTTTTTTTATTTTTAAATAAATATATATACATATACAATATAATAATAATAATTAAGTCATATGTAGCTGTCCACTTTGTCCCTCCCTCAACGCCCCCATGCATATAACTTATATTTAAAACAAAATAAAATATATCTACATACAGTTTATTTCATAATATAATTTTTATTTAATTAAAAATTATTCTATAAAAACAATTTCTTTTATGATTTTAAGTTCATTTGATTTATTGATACATAACAAATAACATGATTAATTGATCCCATTTCGTTACCACATACATTCATTCTCATTATTTCATTCCATTGTTAATGATCTCCTCGATCATCTTCCTTTTGGTATAAAGGAAAGAGTTTCCCGAAAGCTCCTATTACAAAAAGGTTTGAAAAAAAAATTGCTTTAAAAACAACAAGGGTTGATAAGCAGTGCACACAACTTCATGAAACCGGAAAATGGATCTATTGTCTATTCAAATTTCAAAGATAAGAAAATCGATTTGATTTACTTTGTAGTGTTCCATCGGTTTCAGATGGACAGGTCCCATTTCCATACAAGCAAGCAATCCACTCACATGCCATCAGCAAAATCACCATAGAACAACCATAATTTCGAGCTCCAAATTACCAACAGAAAAATCCCATTTTTCATTCCAAATACATCACATTTACAATCAAACAGTCAAAAAAACCAACACCATTTTCATTACCATATGAAGTAAACAGAAATCATACCACATAGATAGGTAATATGTACAACTACACACAACCACGCTATGTTCTTCAGATTCCGGCGGTGGTTCTGTCTGTGTTGTCTTCTTCAGTTTGCTCATCACATCATACACCCTTCTTCCATCGCATTCTGCATCAGCTTGTCATATATCTAATCGTCAAGATTGGTTTTCCTGCATAGTATCTACACACACCCGGACCACAGTTCTGAGATTACAAATCTCAAATTCCCAAATCCAAATTACTGAAAATGGTATTGAATAATTTCAAGAATCTCCACTAAATGAAATTAGAAACAAAAAAACAACAGGAAATGAAAACGTATCCAGAGAAATCGGCTAAGGTGGTTCGCCGAAAGGTTTGAGTTTAAGGATATTTAGTATTAAGGGGGCGTTTGAGATTACTTTTTAAACCTAAAAGTTCTTTTTGTAAAAGTTCTTTTGAGGAAACAAAAGCCAAAAGTGGGTTTTAAAAAGTGTTTGGGTAGTATTTTTTGACTTTTGAGTGTGATTTAGCTTTAAAAGTCCAAAAGTTACAAAAAGTCACACTTTCTTGACTTTTGAAAACTCACTCTTTTCTTCTTTACAAAAAGTTATTTTGAAAAGAACTTTTGCATCTTCCAAACATCTTTATAACTTTTTAGAAAAGTTAAAAGGCAAAAGTCATTTAAAAAGTATTCCCAAACACCCTCTAAGAAAGTAGTATATGTGATAGGGAATCAGGATAAAGACTTATATCATGTTCTTAAGTTATTTTAAGGAGTGGAATGGAAGGGAGAGAAAGTAGATCAAATGGAAAATGTAATGTTGAGTTTTTTTAAGAAATGGGATGGGATTGGAATGTAAGGGGAGGGGGAAACAAAATATGTGTCTTTTCATTAGCCATTTTTGGGCGGATTAGGAGGTAAAGATAAAAAAAAAAGACTCAAATAAGTTAAATCCCTCTATTCCATTCCATTTCTCATACACTTAATTATTTGTATTCATCTTCCATTTTCTTACATTCCATTCTCTTTCCATTTCATCCTCTCCATTTCATCCTTTCATTAAAACATTCGAGAACAAGGCGTTAGGTGTGTATATGTATGTGTTTGTTTGTTCATCATTTTCATATTCTCCCTACTTCCACTTTCTTTAAGATTTTGATTTGGTTTGAGTTAAAAAGAATGAAAGCAAATCAACTCACCTTCTCCCTTCTTTCATTTTGTTTCACGTTTCGATTTTAGCATTTGATTTCAGCAACAGTTGCTAGTGGTGGTCGATGCCAATGTTGGTATT